GGCCAGCACGCCAGGCGCTGTACAAACACCCGCTCAAACAGAGGGGCCCTACCCCAAAGCAGAGTCCGAGTGAAAGGCAGCGGGATGCAGACAGGCAGCAGAGTCAGCAGCAAGAGCAGGGTGCGAGGGACTTCAGGTTATCACTGTTATGTGAGAGCATTGTGGTGAAACAGGGGCTTTTAGGAGGAATTTGGAAGAGGCAGCGAAGGGCTGCATCTGTGGGTGCAGCGCCTCTGGGTGGCCGGGTCTGGCACCAGAGCCTTTGCTACCCAAGGGACTTGCCCCTCAGGGTGCGAGAAGCTTCAGACTCTGAACCCCAAAACCTGGGGGCCATAGCCCAGCCCAGGGTCTCCTCCAGACTTGGGGCTCACTGCTCCCCGGCCCTCTTCTCTTCCCCTTTCTGCGAGAGGAGGCATCCCCAGCTCCTCCAGGCTCCAGCCCCAGATCCCAGGGTGGCCTGGATACGGACACCTGGAGAGAGGCCTGAGTGTTGATGGTGCCCTTCCTGGGGGGCAGGTTATGGGGCGAGTGGCAGACGGGATGGTGGTGTTTGCAAGGGTCAAGGAGGGAGACGGGGGGGGTCGGGGATTCAGAGCGCTGCCTTGGCCATGCTGGGGTCTGGCGGATGGTGAGAGATCCCCCAGGAGAAGACAGACACAGGCAGAGATTTTAGCCTGGGCAGAAGGAGGCAAGTCTGGAGCCGAGAGCGGGGTAATTAGGTGAGACAGACCGCAGGAGACGCTGGGCCGTAGCTTCTTCCCTTCTTTCAAGCCAAAGGGGCTTTTCGAAGGAAGTTTACTTCTCCCCTTCTCTTTCTTTTCCAGGAACAAAGTCCCAGTTTGGAGAGCCCTGACTCACTCGACTGAAGCACACGTTGACAGGGAAAGGAAACAATCTCTCAGCTGTTTCTGCTCCCCTCCCGAATGGCCCCTCGCAAAACATGCCACATGTTGGCAAGTCACCGGCTCATGGGGAGCTGGCAGGTAATGTACTGCGGCCGCGGAAAATTGCACCGCCGTGGGACTGGAGCATCCGTGGACCTGGGATAGTTGGGACCAGCTTATCTGAGAGCGGGGAGGGTGTGTATGTGTGGTCTAGGGGGTTAACATGTATGACCATGCACTTGCCTGTGACCTGCAACAGCCTGCTAGTTGCTGGCTCCAGCATCCTTGTCTAGTCCAGCCCCCGCTTTCTCCCCACCCCTAATACGCTCCTGTTGCCACCTCTCGGTCAGCTCGAGACCAGGCCATGTGCATTTACCTCAGGGTAAGGGCATGCACCTGGGCAGTTACCCTGGCATTGATGGCATGCAGCTCGCACCCTAGCTGACCCTGCCGTACCTTGTATGCATGCCCAGAGCCCTGCGGGCAGAGCGGGGAAGGCTTGGAGGGGCACTCAGGAGCGTGAGCTGATCATCTAAGGCAGTGGGGGCCAAGCTTTTTGGCAGGCATACCGCAAATTAGCCCCACACCCTCCCCGAGTGCTCCTCCAGTCCCCTTCCCCTTCTCAAGCTGCTGCTCTGCTTTCTGCTTCCCTCCGTGGTCCCCCTGCCTGAACTGCTGCTCCGCACAGGCTGCCCGTGTCATTTGTGGCATCCAGGCTGCAGTTTGACCATCCCCAGGGTTGGGAGACTGCAGTTCACATATGGGGTCTGCCACATCCACAGCCGTTATAGCGAGCCCAAATCCTGCTTAGGGTTTTTGTAAACTCGTGACACCTCCATTGGCTAAGGCTGCACGTTGCTGATGACAAGAGTTTGGCGCACACCGCTGCCTGCACCGTGGCACTGCTGCAGGGAAGAGGGTACTCCTATCCTCACATTGCCCTGAGCCCACAGGCAAAGCTGCTGGGAGAACAACCATCTCTCCGTGAGTATGGGGGCTTGCTCTTTTCGGAGGTGCTGAGCACCTGCAGGTGAGCAGGGAAGGTGTCTGCTTTGGGGTCTGGATGTGTGAGAGGGGAGCAGCAAGACGAAGGGAGGGACGGCAGCTCCCAGGAGAGAGCTGCTCAGAGACTCAGTGTTTGAAAGGGAACATCTTCATGGGGACAGCGCTGCCCGTGAGGCGTCCCAGAGGCCGACCCTTGTCCTCTCGCCCCGTGCAGACTCCTGGGGTTGCAGGTAGGGTTCACTCTATTCCAGCCACCCTCTTCCAGGGACTGCAGAAGACGGGACGAGCAGGAGGCAGTGCTGGTGCTGCCTCACTTCAGGGGTCAGTGCGTGGAGCTCTGATGCCTTTTCCTGGCTGGAGATGGCTTGGGGAAGGGCTGGCAAGGGGCAGAAAGAAGCATGCTCTACATTGAGTCTGGAGAAAACCTATACAGCAAACCTGCTGAAGACAAGCTGCTCCCCACGTAGTGCACTGCCAAAGGTGGTAACGATGGTGGTAGCCCTGAGCCAGAGGGTCGGGGCTCCAGCTGAAGTGGTTGGAGCCTCAGCGGCTCATCTCCCTGCCTGGTTTCATCCTATCGAGAGCTGAGAGATGAAGTCAGGCTGTTAGTGCTGGATGTAGCATCATCTCTGCAGCCGCACTAGTGGAGTCCATGAGACTTTCTGACGTGCTGGCATCCAGTGCCCTCTGCATGACGTGAGCACGGGCAGAGGGGTTTGTGCCAGGGAGGCCAGGGTTTGTGCTGCATTGCACAGCACAGGCTAGGCTAACAGCAGTCCAGTGAGGACAGAGATGAGGAACCAGGGCTACCCAAGAAGTTAGGTCATAGCAAAGGCAGGATTCACACTCCTCCTGGGGCCAGGAGCTGCAGTGGGACTTGGCTCCAAGGAAGGTTTTTGACCGCTGACAGAGCGAGCTCCAGCATGCTCCTGCCCATCCCGCTGGCCGTGGCTATTGCCATTAGAAGTTAGCAAAGGGGACGTGTCTTTTCCTGAGGGAATGGGGCTCAGTGGTGCTGTCTTCATGAGAAAGGGCCCTGGGGTTGGGTCTTGCTGTGGATGTGTGTGGTTGTGCATAGTGTCTCGTGGCGACACGACTGTCAGCCCCCGGCTCAGTCAGGCCCTTTCCCCTTCTAGGTGTGGAAGCTTCTCCACTCCTGTTGGGCTGTGCCTGTGTTGGGGTGAATCAGGCTGACCCCTTGCTACCGCCGCTCAGGCCTGGTGGAAAATGCGATGGTCCAGGGAGGGGCAAGATCTGGAGAAGTCCTGGATTTGACTCTCCCTCTGCTCCTCTTCTGCCTTTTGTCCTGCTGCTTCTCCCCACATTGCTGCCTGATGGAGACTTTGCACAGCTGGGTGGACTGGGGCTTCCCTGTGGAGGCCACTGGGGCTCCCACCAATGCAAACTCCAGAAGGGATTTCGAGTCCGGGACAAGAACACCTCCATGGTGGCACGGTCCAGCCATTCCCTGGTGGCCCATGAGCCACCCTCCATCACCGGCTCCTTTCAGGCTTTGGCTGGGGCTCAGGGAAGTTCATGGCTTAGCGCAGGGCCAGCGGACATGGTACTTGTGGCTAAGTGATTGCAATGGGTCTCACCTTCATGTGTAGCCTGTACATCATCTCCAACCTACCTGATAACACCAATGATCTAAGCAATGACCAAGTACCCTGTGGGAATGAACTGGATCCCAAAAAGCAGCTTCCCCTCCCCTCCCTGCCTGCCATCTCCCGTCCCTGGGAGAGGCACGACTATGTCTTTAGGGGTGGGGGTAGGGGGGCTTTTTTTGCTTGTTGATTCAGCTCCTGCTGACTCAGTTGGTAGAGGAGAGAGGCTGGACTGCCTGTGCCAGCTCAGCCTGCCCTGTGAATCAGCGTGACCGGGTGCCTTTCCCTTGGGAAGAGCATCCTAGTCAGAAAGCACCAGCCTCGACTTCAGCAGATGAAACTATCCAGGGTGGAGACAGGGCCAGCCAGACTAGGTGCCCAGGGCAGGAGGTTTTCTGTGCTGGTGTCTGGACCTGAGGTGATGGCTATACTGGGATTGCCTGGGGCAGGAGGTTTTCGGTGCTGGTGTCTGGACTTGTGGCGATGGCTATACCGGGGCTGCCTGGGGCAGGAGGTTTTCGGTGCTGGTGTCTGGACTTGGGGCGATGGCTATAGTGGGGATCCCTGCGGGGCACCAGTGCAACTGTCACCCAGGCAGGCACAGCCAGGCTTTGCAGGGCAGATTTACAAACTGTTGGTGGAAAGGCAAGACACTTGCTGTCCCTTTCTTTCTGCATGGGGCGGTTCAATGTCACGGGATGGACAGGGATGCACAGTCCCATTGGAGCCATAGCACGCAGGAGGGGGCTGGTGTCCTGGGGAGCCTGGCTCTCCATGCTTCAGCTCCCCAGGGGCAGAGGGGATGAGGGGCAGCAGGTGTGGTAGGAGATGGGACCTGGTATGAGGGTCGGGTTAGGGTGTAGGGATTTATTGGTGTCCCTGTAAAGAGCGTGTGGGGAGGGGTTACAAACTATTTGGAGGGGCCCTGCACAAGTCCTAAGTTGGGGGAGAAGGGGGAGGGGAGCCATGGGGAAGATCGATCTCTCCCCACAGATCTGTCGGTGATGTGGTTTCTGGCCGCCAGACAGGTCACCCTGCTGGACAGTGGACATTGCCCCGAGCTTGGCGTTCGGGGCTGGCTGTGCAGGATGGGGGAAGCCCTGGACTCTTCCCTCCCCGGGGATCATTAGCAGGGAGCCGCTGAATTGTGCATCTCCAGCTCCATCTACTCACCTGCCCCCTCCGGAGCAGCGATGACTCCCAGCCTGTTCACCAGTCCTTTGGGCAGAGCCAGCCGTGCCCACGGGACCTGCTCCCGCACCGGGGCTGTGGGCTCAGCGCCTGGCTATGAGACCGTCGCTCTCTTGCTCTCCGCTTGGTACCCCAGCTTAGCCTTGCCTAAGCCAGCGGCTATACGCAACGCATTAACATTCTTCTCTCTCACCCTTACCACGGCTAATCTTTGTTCCCAATAAAACCCAAATGCAACCAGATGAGAGATTACAGGGGGGCAGGGGGCGGGAACCCAGCAAAAAACATCCAGTAATGGCAAGCAGAGAGAGGATGAAAAAGAAAACAAAACTTTTTAATTTTAAAAAACCTTTTCTTTAAAAACACGTGTGTAAAGTTTACAGCATAAAAATAATATCTCACGGGTATAAATGCGATGTAATAAGAGTCCTACTAACACACTTGTAAACACCTAGGAGGACATTAGCTCTTTGGTACCGTAGTTTGATCTCAGTTTGGCTTCTCCCCCCCACCCCCCATGACTTTAGACAGGCTAACGACAAAGATGAGCGCAGGAGATGTTTCCATCCAGGCATGAACGTGGCGGAGGAAGAGCCCAGGACAGGCGCATGCTGCCAGGACAGAAGGCACCAGGTAATGTTTCATCTGATTAGGTAGAAGTCCTGACTCTCCCCACTCTCTCAATCCTGCAGCCCCCAGGTCTGCTGTTGTCCCAGCTGCTGCAATGCCACCCAGCTGAGTGACTTCAGGCCGTGGCAGCAGTCTGGGAGGTAGCCTGAGGTCCTGGTAGGCTTCACCTGGGCAGGGCCAGGAGGGCAGGGCCTGCAGGTGCCCAGGAGCTGCCGCTCGGCTGCTCTCTGAATGGACGTGCCATCGCTGAGCCGTGCTGCTGTGCTTGGCCCTGCCAGCTCTCGGGGGCTGCTCTGGCTGGCGGCCACGGTTCCTTGCACCATGGCATGTGTGGGCACTCTGGACACCAATACCGTGACCCCAAAGCTGGGCTCGGGGGCAGCACCGAGGCGTGATGTGTGAATGAGGAGTAAACCCTGCGGAGGGGTGCCTGCCCCTGCCTTGCTCACAATGCAGCTTGCCTTTGGTAAAGCTCTCCCAAAAGATGCAGTGAGGAGACCCCCTGCCTGCCTCCATCCAGGGTCATGCACTGGCGCCTAATGTGGTGCCCCGTCCCACCCTATTACCGAATCTCTTGGATGTTTCTGTCCACCTGGCCCTGAACCTCTCGGAGAGTTGTTGGGCCTGCACAAGGGGGCATTTCCCACTTTGGCCAACTTTCTACTGGCTGCTCTTTGTCGGTGCCTGGCAAACTCCTGCCGCTGGGAAGCCCCCTCCAGCAGGGTCCCCGGGGCTGGGAACCGAGGCAGCTCATTGCAAGTCAAGTCCACCATGCTCTGAATTTCACAACGCAGCGCCAAACACTGGTTTAAACAACACATCCGAGGAGCAGAAGACAAGAGGACTACAAACCGCGTGCACATCAGCATAAGCGTCTTAAACATGGAAAGAAACACTGCGGCGTGACAGGCATCCCCCGGATATACATAGCACAAGGAATAGTGGCTGGCAGAAAGAACAGGCTTATACTGGTGCTGATAACATTGGACGAGCTGCGGCGTAACATACAATTAAAGAGAGGCGGTAGAGATGGCCCCAAACTGCAGAACTGGATTCCCTTTGCGGAGGCTGGAAAGATTTAGGGGCTGGGATGTGGGGTTCAGTTTGGGCTCATCTCTACATACACAAAAACCCCACAACCAAACAAAACCAACCACATAAACTAAAACCTAGAGGCATTGGTTCCCTTCTGAATAGGATTGGACGCATCCCGGTTACAATTGATGGCAACGGAAAAGTTATGGTATTTTGCCCCCCATGGTCTGATTTACCGGGGGCTGGAATGTCAGAAGTAGGGAGGGGGGGAGAGAGAGAGAGAGAGAGAGAGAGGCGGTGAACCCTAAATCTGGGCTGGTTTGGGCCACTGACTCTGTTCTGTGGGCACCTGGGGGGCTTTCCCCAGAGCTGTTTCCAATGTGGTGAATTGAGCCAAGTGAGTCCACTCTTTGGAAAACGGGGTTCCCTCCTTGGGTTTCCTGGGGCTACCTGGCTGGTGTCTTACCTTGCGTGGCGCTCACCTGGCCAGCACCCTCTACCCTGAGCTGAAAGGCTTTCTACTGCGGCGGCAAGGCAGCAATCTCACCGCACGCCCTGGGCAGGATGTGAAACTAAGTTCTGCAGCCAAGCGGAAAGCAGATCAGACACTTCGCATCGAGCCCAGACAGGGCCACAAAGCATCCGACTGGCATCAGGTTCCCTTTGCCTGTGACTCCCGCCGCCAGAGCCAGAAGGTCTGATGTGTGCAGTGCAGCGTTGCACAGAGAGGCAGCAGCTAATGGGGTATTTCAAGTAAAGACCTGAAAATACCACGGAGTGCAAGAATGGGCTTGGCAGCAACTATTTTAATAACTCTAGTAACTTAAGGGTAATGCCAACTGGTTGGAGAACATCTAAGGTAGCATCTGTTTGAAGATGAAGGGTGGAGGGAAGTAATTAGAGCAACAACAGGCCTGTTAAGCTGACCTCAGCAACAGGACAGGTGTCAGGGGGAGCTTTGAAGGAAAGAATAAAGACAACGAGGGAAAAGAAAAAAAAGAAAAGGGGGGCGAGAGAAAATACAACCTGGGTTTGCTGGAGCTAAACCAGACCAGTCTGATCTCTTTCTTTGCTAAGCTATCTAATCTGTGATATGCAGTAGATTGTATCTCTCAGGACACCAGAAAAGCATCCAATATGGTGACATGTGGGAAATAATTAGTGAAGCTGGAGATGATTAATATGAGATGTTGCAAAGCGAGCAAGGGACTGGCTAAAGGAGAGATGGCAACTGGTTACCCAGGGCAGCCTCAGGTGAGAGGGGAGTTACTAGAGGAGCTTGTTAAGGATCAGTCTTGGGACCGATCTTATTTCATTGAGGACTTGGGCACAAAATGTAGGAGAAGGGGAAAGAAAACGGTTGATGAAACCAAATTTGGGAACATTGTCAATCCAGTGGGCGAGCAGAAGGCCTTGGGGACTGGAGTAACAGGAACAGAGGGCGTTTAAAAGTGCAAAGGGCAAGATCATGCACTTGAGGGCTAACGACAAGAATTTCTGCTATGTGCTGACAATCCCTCAGCTCCAGCGACAGCAGAGGAGAAAGGTCTGGTTGCGTTTGTGGATCGCAGGTTGGCTCTGAGCCTCCCCTGCAATGCAGCTGTGGAAAAGACCAGTGCAATACCAGGATCTATCACGCAAGGTATTTTCCGTAGACAGAGGGAAGTACGAAGGACATTGTGCAAGATAATGGTAGGATGCCATCTGGGATCTTGGGCACCGTGCTGGCCACCCACATGCGAGAAAGACGAAGTGAAACGGGAACAGGTGCAGAGAAAGGCGATGAGGAAGAGGAGGGGAATGGAGAGCCTGGCTTAGGAGAGGAACGCAGCCGGCTGGACCGCTTAGCTTAGCAAAAGGAGAGCATTACTCTCCAAAAGTACGGCAGGAAGGGAGACAGCAGGGAGGGAAGAAAGCGTTTCAAGCTGAAGGACGATGTTGGCAGCAGAACAAAGCGGGATCCCACTGGCCATGCATACCTATAGTCTGCAGGAAGAAGTAATCCAAGAAGAAATCAATCAGAGTGGTGGCAAGAGGCCTAACTTTTTGAAAGACGGGCCTGATCAGTCATTCATAGACATCACAGAGAAATGGGGCTGCAAGGGCCCCCCAGAGCTCGTCTAGTCTAACCCCCTGCCCGAGGCAGGATCCGCCCAGTCCAAACCCTCCTAGACACATCCAGCATCTAAGCTCACAGTGGGAACAGGATTGTATGATACCATGTTTGCAACAGCAGGGATGGGCTTTACCCCAGGAAGCCCCTTCCAGGGCTATGATCCCATGTTCAACTGCAAGGAGTAAGAAGAGGCGCCGTGAAGAGAGAAACCAGCCTGGCAGGTAAAGCCTGTGATCATGCAGGGACCCGAGCCCACCCGGGTGGAGCATACGTGCCACTCGCATTGTGGGAGAAGAGCAGTGGCCCTGCAGGAGTGAGACCCCATGGGCTGACCTTGCGGTGGCACGTACCCACCTGAGCCTCCACCACGTAAAGGTAAAGCGGTCTCACCCCACGCAGCTGCAGTGTTGTGGCCTGGGGGCTGCTCATGGCACATGGAGCTTACTAGAGGACTGGTACGTGGGGAAAAACGTTTGCTGTTCACAGGGCAGATGCTCTGGATGCTGGGAAGGCTGACCTTTCAGGCTGGAAAAGACAAACTGTACTGACTGTGGTTATTATCAGCAGCACTCTCCTGGCTACCACTAACAGTGTTTGCATTTTACTGGCAAGGCAAACCTCACGGGACATGCCTGTTCCCCTCGGTCTAGCTTTAGCGAGGCCACTATGAACAAAGGGTCACCCCAATGTCTGACCAGCTCTCTCCGGAGGCACGCAGCCACTGAGTGCGGCTGGGGAGGGGAAGGTGAAAGAGGTGATGGAGGCCCGGGAAAGGCTCGAGTCTACTCAGTACTCTCGGAGGAGGAAAACTGCGGTTTCCCCAATTGAAGTGATTCCCCTTGCTACCGCGGCTGGGCTGCTTCTTGCCCACCTTGGCAGGGACTTCACACTCTGTTTGAAATGCTGGGTGTGAAGCAGGAGGGAGGGTCTCCACGTGTCCACCCTGCAGATGGCTTTGTAAGGGAGGGTGATCGGGTCATGCCCCCCAGCCCTTTCCTCCAGACCGATCCTCCCTCTTCTGTTCAGCTCCCAGCCCGCAGGGCTCCAGGCGCCACATCTGCCTGGGATCAGCTGGCCCCTTGCAACTGGACAGGCTGCTTGGTGGCTTCCCTCTGGCAGGTGGGCCACCAACAGCTTCTCAGTGGCGGGGGCATAGACATGGCATGGCACTCGGGGGACTTCACAGCCTCTCTTTTTCTCTCTCTCTCTCTCTGTCTTATGTGAGATGTCTTTGGGCCTCCTAGGCTGGTGTGCTCGCACCCTGGCCACTCAGCATGGCTTTGCCTCGGGAAAGAGGCTCAGTTGACACCCCCTGTCCTGAAGGAAAGAGGAACTCAGACAAGCCCCTGACTCTACCTGGTCCCCACAGACAACACACAGCCGGGATGGGAGACCCTCCCAGCCAGGTTCAGCGGCGCATCACGTTGAACAGGTAGCCATTCCTTCCTTATACTGGCCCTGGATGGTGAATGAAGAGATCTGGCTTGTTCCCTTGAAGCGAGTGATCGGGGTTAGCGTTCACACAGGAGAAGACGGCTCTGAGTGTCTCCAGGTCCCGGCATGCCCTTGGCAGCCCAGGGAGCAGCTCTGAGCAGAAGGAGGGTTCAATCTAGGACAGCCCCTTGGGATGCCTGCAGCAACGTGGCGCAGCACCACGGGTACCTGTACCACAGTGCTTGCGGTGCTGCCCCATCTCCGAAATGCTGCAGAGGGTGTGTGCGCCGGCTAGCGACCCAACGTCTCTGAGACCCACCGCAGGCCTCTTTTCGGCAGTCGCTATACCTTGGTTGTGCTTGAGGGAGAATCCCGTTTCTCTTAATGGCTGGAGTGTGGCCTTTTGGCTTCTCTTCGCCTCACCAGCGAGCTACGAGAGGGGGCTGTCTGTCCAGCCGGCCATCCCTGGCAGCTCTGCTGTGCCCACCGCATGGCTGCTACACCGAGCATCAGAGAGGCGGGTACGATGGAGATGAGCTGGAATTCAGCGCCGTGCATTTTAGCAGGGCGGGATAGAGGCTGGGATATGCAATCAAGCAGAGGGAAAGGCAACGTCTCCTATAGAGACAGCATCTCCTTTCATGGTGAGAAGAGGTTTTTCTGTGAGCAGACGCCTCTGCTCTTCCACAGTTGGGTGGCTGGGATGGTGTGTAGCAATGGGACGGGGTGGGGGTTGGCGCGTGGTCCTTTGGCACAGAAAGGGAACGCGTCCGTCTTTCCCCGGTTGTGCTGGAAGGTGGGATGAAAAAAGGAGCACTGAGGCACAGGGGTCCCCCGATGCATAGCACAGCTCTGCCAGGTTGGGTTGGCCCCTGGCCCATCTCCCTGGTGGGTGAGGTGCAGCATCAGCCCAGAGCCAGCTACAGAAAGCTCTCCTCCGTGTCGTGATGCCCAGGGCTCGGCTGCTGGCAGCCTGGCTTCAGCTCTGGTTCTGGTTCTGGTTCCGGTTCTGGTTCTGGTTCCTCATCCTGCGCTGGGATCAGGGGGCTGTCGCAGGATATCGTAGATGAGGTGTTTGCCTCGTTCAGTGTAGAGCTGAAGGGAGGAGAGAGGAAGAAGCAGAGAAATAAATGCTCTGTCTGAAGTTTCTCATGGCCGGAGAGGGACCCACATGACTCTCCTGTGCCATGATAACAGGGATGTGTCACCTGCCAGCGTGAGGATGCTGAATGCCAGCTGGCAGCCTGGGTGGGCAGGACAGGGGGCAGGCAGTGGGTAAATCTAAGGATCCTGGAGGGACAGGGAGAAGATCCCAGCTTTGCCCTCCTTGCTCACATCACAGCCCACCCTTGCCACCACGGTGCTTGCAGAAAGGTCAGAGGCCAGAGGTGAGGGGGGTCAACGTAGGGGAAGCACGAGGAAGCTCGGGTTGCCTACCTGGCCCGGCTGACGGAAGCTTCCTGGGGGATATCGTCTGCTCCGTCGGGCTTGGGGTCGGGCAGGGGGATGATGTAGTCGTTGTCCCCTTCGTTCTGTTGCACGGCAGTATAGAGGATGCTGCTGGCGCTGGAGCTGTGCTGGGCACCGTTCACCCCGGCGATCCTGGGCTGAGTGCGGACGACGGCAGGGTGGTCACTCCTCAGGAACTCCTCATCGACCTGCTGGTACCTCTGTGCCCGCGGGGCAAGTGGCAAAGAAACACGACGTGAGGCGAGTGGGTACAGCCAGCTGGGACCCTGTCAGCTCTCCCTGCTCCCTCGGGCATCTAAAGGGACACTTCAGAGCCTGTGCAAGAGGCAGATCAGGCACCTAAAAGCTGCCAGTGGTTGAAGACGTGGAAGGGAGTGGCTTGACTCTGGGGAAGAGCCAGGGACAGAGCTCAGGGCTGGGCGCGAGCCATAAGACAATGCTTGTGTTTGGTTTTTTTTCATACATCCCGGACGTTGCCACCACCCAGGACAAACTGGGCAATGTCACTGGACAGGCTTTTTTTTGCTGGCCCCTACCATAGACTATCCCAAAGGGAGCAGCTCACTCTTATTCCTTTAAATGCACCAACTGAGCTTGATGTCAGATCAGGCGGACTGATCTGCAGATTAACGCGGTTGATCCAACAGGCTTGATGAAGGGTGGGAGCGATACACCCAGAGCCCTTCATCTGTCCCTAACGTGCAGGCACGGGGGCTCTGGGGACGTACCTTCTTGTAGCCGTCCATCAGCAGGTTCCCCATCAGCACCACCAGCTGTGAGAAGGAAGGTCGGATCTCAAACTTCTCTTCCCAGCATTTCTGCATGATATCGTAGCTGGGGGAGACAGAGGTGGAGGGGAAAGCTTAGTGCAAGGAGTTAGAGGGTGGGAGCGGTGAGGTGGGGAGGCATCGGAAGATGCAAGGCCAGTGGGAACTCGGGTGGGTAGCACTTACATCTCGTCAGAGGCATGCGTGGGCTTGGACATGCGATAGCCCCGCTTGATGGCGTTGTAAAACTGCTCGTTCATGGGCAGCTCAGGGTAGGGCGTCCCACCTTGGAACAGAAAATAGAGCAGGAAATCAGCCTAAGGGACCGCGGGGGACAAGAGGGGCTTTAGGACTGGGGTCTTTCTCCTGGCGTGGGTGAGAAATGGAGAGAAGATGCTCCTGGTTTGGTGGCGCCTTGCCAAAGGGCTGTGCTCGGTGGAGGGGAGGGGAGTTTCAGGACACCTACCCAGTGTGAATATCTCCCAGAGGAGGATCCCGAAAGACCACACGTCACTCAGGGTCGTGTACAGGTTGTTGAAGATGCTCTCGGGCGCCATCCACTTCAAAGGCAAGAAAGTCTGCGAGGAAAACACAAAGTGGGAATGGGTTTGGGCTGCTGGGCAATGACGGCTCGTGTCTGTGCCACCGGCAGGAGGGGAATGCAGACGCCAGCCCCTGACTGCGCTTTTGTGGTATGGACCTCCATCTTTAGGCTTGGGACGGGCCGGGGCCTGATGGGAGGTGGATACCTGGCCCCGGGGTGAGGAACTCCTCTCCTCTCCCCATCTCCTGTGCTACTCCAGCCTGGAGGCCTTGAGACCCGCTGGGAGAGGCCTGGCTGAGGGCTCTGCTGCATGCTTTGGACATGGATCCACTTGCGCAAGGGATATCAAAAATAATCCCCAGGAAGCGTTGCGAGGGAGCTAAGTTTCGTTTCCTGTTTTATCAGGAAAGGCAGCCACGCTGAAGCTACATTGGAAAGTCCCATGCAGGAGGGACCTTGCTCCCTGCCCAGGCTCTGACGGCCCAGTGGGGGCTGATCCTTGCTTTCCAGCAATGAGATTTGGTCACTGAGTTCCCGTTTTCGCATACCAGACTGTGATTTCTCAGGAGGAGAAGGGAAGGAGGGAGACTGAACCTCCCTTCCTCCTTCACCTATTTCTCCAGGCCAGGGGAATGCTACTGCAGCCGCTAGCTAGAGCACTGGGCTGGCATTCAGGACACGAGGCTCTGCCTGGGTCTGCTGGGTGACTGTGGGCAAGTGACTTCCCCTCCCTGTGCCTCAGTTTCCCCAACAGCAACGTGCAGCTGATGACAGTCTTCCCTTTGGAAAGCACGCTGAGATGGATAGATGAGCATGCGAATGCTCACTAAGAGCCGGGGATTCCTGTTCTCCTCCTGCAATGCCCCCAAGCCCCAGCTCACACCTGTTAAGCCAAGAGAAGATGGGGAGGACGTTCATTCGCATCGTGGGATCTTTTCCCTGCTTGAAAGCCCAGGCCTCCCTTCTGGAGAGCCCTCGTGCTGGGTGCAGAAGCGTGGGGGACCGGAGACTCGAAGCTGCTCGCTGCAAAGGGGGATGGCGTGCGAGGTGCTAGAGCACTCCCAGGGCCCCAGCTGGAAGGGGCCATGGTAGCACGATGTCCCTACTGCAGTTGCAGTTCCCTAACTGCTTGCATCTGAGCCTAGAAAGCATGAGCGTGTCGTTCCATGACCCTGTGCAAAGCCACAGGCCAGGCATCCAGGGGAACGATGAGCCTTGCTGCTGGCAGTGGGATAATGGCCTACGTGTGCTCTCAGGCAGGGGTTATCCCAGGCTAGTTCTGCCCCACACAGGGCTAGTAGCCCGGTAAAGACACCTCACCTGGGTGAGAAGGACAGGGAGGAAGGGCATCGCGGAAACACCTGGCTCCCAGTACTCACGTTGCCCTTGGAAATGTAGTTAGAGTCTCGCACAATGTCCCGGGCCAGCCCGAAGTCGCAGATCTTCACCAGCTTCCCCTCGCAGATCAGCACGTTCCTTGCTGCCAGGTCACGGTGCACGCACTGCGGAGCAGGGGACAGAGCCGTCAGAGAGGGAGCCCAGGGAGCAGAGTGGATTTAGGAGCCAAGTGCTGGCTCGGGGGTTGGAGTGTGGACCTGGTCGGATTTGAGCCAGGCTTGGCTGCAATCTGCAGGCAGAGATGGTCT